GGAACATTTTGTGAGACATACCACGGTATACCCGCCAGGCACTGACTTTTGCTCACCATGGGACGCAGATGATATTCGTATTGCCGTGGGTAGGCAAAAGAATGGCCGCGCTCCAGGACTTGATGCTATAGATGCAGCGATCCTAAAGAACAGTATCTCCTATATTGAAGAGCGACTTTTAGGAATCTTTAATGATTGTTTAGATAGGGGATACTTCCCAAGGAAATGGAAGATCGCTGATTTGAGAATCCTCTACAAGGGAGGAGGCAGGGATAAACAACTTCCTTAGTCATATAGACCAATTTGTCTCCTCCCTGTGATGAGTAAGGTCCTGGAGAACATCATGATGACCAGGTTACGGCCAGTTTTCAATCAAGCAAGCCATCCACGGCAATACGGCTCTATCAGAGGCAGAGGAACCGTTGATGCTCTGCTGAGAGTTCGCAGAGATGTTGAAGAAAGGGCGGAGCGATATTTCATGTTGCTTCTTTTTGATATAACCTCCGCCTTTGATAGTTTATGGTGGCCCTGCGTACTCCAGCAGCTGCAAAAATATGACGCTCCCAGCAACCTATATGCCCTCGTAAGGAGCTATCTTCAGGACAGGCGAGTGAAGATCAAAGGCAGCTATTACTAGGTAGAAGCTTCCATAGAGAGGGGATGCCCTCAGGGATCAGTACCTGGTCCTGCTCTATGGAAGCTGGTTTTTGATGAGTTGCTAGGAGTGCTTGAAAATGAGCGGTTCTCTGCCACTGCCTATGTTGACGATCTAGCTGCTGTGGTGGCATCCAACAGCAGGGCGGGGATCAAACTAGCAGCAGAGCGATGTGCCAACCTTGTAGCCAGATGGTGTGAGGGAAAGAAAATGCGTATGGCTGCTGAAAAGACGCAAGCCATCCTCTTGAAAGGCACGACTGATAGAGCACACCCCATTAGCATGGATATAGAAGGTCAAATAATACGCCCAAGTGAGGTGGTAACATATCTTGGTGTAAGGTTAGGAAAAGGCCTAAATATAACACCTCACTTGGATTATCTAGCAACTAAGGTGACCCAAGCCTTGAACGGACTCAGTCGTGTTGGGGGTGCATTCTGGGGCCTCAGATACCCCGCAACGATGACGATCTATAAAGGTGTTGTGCTGGGTATCTTGAGGTATGCATCTCCCTCCTGGTATAGGAACCTCACACAGCGACAGCGAAAAAGGTTGGCGTCGATCCAGAGGATGGCCCTGTTGCGTGTCACCAGAGCATTTAGGACAACGTCACATGAAGCAGTGCAGGTCCTAGCGGGGGCGGTACCTCTCGACCTCCTCCTGCGAGAAGATGTGACCAAGCATAAATACAAGAAAGAAGGCTTGGCTGGAGTTCCAGAAAATCTACGGGTGAGGATTGTGGAAAGTCCCAACAAATGGAAGAAGATAATCCGGGAGGATACGATTGAGGAATGGAGCCGTCGGTGGGTTGCTACCCCGAAAGGGAGTACTCTCAGAAAATACTTCCCCACCGTACAGTCGCGGTTAGATGCACAATGGATCCTCCCGGACTATTGGATTTCACAGTTCCTCACGGGGCATGGGGGTTTTCGAGCTAAGCTACATGGCTTTGGCCAGGACATAGATCCCCAATGCCCCACTTGTGGAGTTCTGGAGACTGTCGCGCACGTGGTAACGGCCTGCACTGCAGTTGAAGGAATAAGGGCAACGATGATGAGAACCGCAGGAATTTACGTCCTAACAGAGGATGAACTTCCTCAGTTGGTAAGTAAGGAGAACTTCCCTCGGTTCAAGAAATTTATTTATGACTGGAAGGAGGCAGTGGGTCCAGCCCACTTCAACATCGGAGCACGGAGAAGAGGACCACCACCAAGAAGACCGCCGGAAGACGGACACCCTTGATAAGACGTCACCGAAGATATATTTTAAACTGTTTCACTTGCAGTAGTATGCTGTTATGCAGTCATGCATAACAGCCCACTATTGCAAACGCCCGTATGGCCCATCAGGCAAGGTAGGGTGGAATGTAAATAAATAAATAAATAGCTCACAAGGCCAGGTCTGCTCAGCAGTGGTTGCAAAAGAACATTCCAGAGTTCATCTCTGCCTCGGATTAGTCTTCAGGAAGACCCGATCTCAATCCATTAGATTATCGGCTTTGGCCCGAACTGGAGAGGATGGCATGCCACAGAGCACACCCTAACTTGGAAAGCCTCAAACAATCTCTGGCCCGAGGCGTTGAGCGCTTTCCTCAAGAAGTGCTGCTATTGATGACTGACCACGGAGATTAAATGCCTGCGTCAAGGCAAAAGGAGGACATTTTAAGTAATTTATTTTTTGTTTTACTCTCTATAGATATAAATTTTATTTTCTAATGAAGTTTTTGAAAAAAAAATATTTTTTTTGTTGCAATCTGTATATATTTCCTTGTAACAATATTTATGATAGTACTAGATATGAAATGGTCCAGGGCCCATGTCAGAGAGGCCAGATGATAACATATATTTTTGTAAAAAATATTTTGAATTAATTGTTTTAAATTTTACCTAATTTAAATAAATTTAATATAATATGGTTTATTTAATATAGTATGGTCATTTTTCAATGATATTGTGGAGTCTAGGTATTTAAATCTGTCTCCATACGAAAATGATTACCCTTCTAAGCAGATCCTGTTGTTGGCGTGGATTTTACTACAATTACGACTTACGATTATATAATTACATATAGTTATAATTATATTTGATACATGGGTGATAAATATTCAGGACGCAGTCATTATAAAATTTTTATTAGTTACGACGTTTTAACCCAAACGTGTGGGTCATCATCAGGACATGTTTCGAGCCAGATGAGAAACACGCCCTGATGAAGACCCGCATGAAGACCGCATTGAAACTTCGGCACTAATAAAAACTTTGTAATGATTGCGTCCTGAATATTTATCACTCATGATATGTAGAACAGTCGATGAACTTCCTTCCATATATTTGATACAATTTTCATATCGTACGTGGACAAATCGACAATAGCCAATGAAAACCATGTAACTTTGAAGGTGTATAAATATCCGTAATATATAAGACAATGACGCTTATGTAGACGTATTAAAAATTATATAAACTAAATAGGCATCACTTAATTTGTTTTAAATACACTCTTTTTTCTCTAGTTAAATTTAGCAAAATGGATTTATGAAGTTTTCAGAGCCTATCTTCGTCAATATGTGGTATATTTTATTGTTGTATATTCCAGTCAGAGATTTACAATAAACGGTCTCGAGGTAAATGGGGGTAATGTTCCAAATGAAATTAAAAGATAAGCATTCTTCCCTTTGCTCCCTAGTGTGTTGTTTAAGTTACGGAGAAACTTGTGGGCCATCACCTAAAATTTTCCCGTTTTCACTTATTTTCTGTAAATGTGAGCCAATTGCAACAAACCATATTCAGGCTGTTCTAAAATAGAGAGAAATATTCATAGGACCTTAAGAGAGAGAATAGTAGACCTTAAGAGCTACAAAAAATGTCTAAATAAACAGTGAACCAATTTACAGTAGGAAATTAAAGTTTTCTATTCTTTTAAATGTAACGTTTTTGATTGAATAATGAGCGATAACTAAATAAATATTCAATGTAAGTAATTAAAACTCGCTTCACAGTAAACTAAACAAAATTTACTTCAAATAAAAGTACAGTTTGTCATGTTTAAGATCATTTAAAGGAGCCTCTGAGTAGATAGACTAAGCTAAATTCTGTTTTTTAAAAACATATAAATTAATCGAGATATTTCTTTTCTTTTTGTTGTTTCTTTTCTGTTTCAAGTCGTAAAATTTACGTTTAAAATAAGAAAACCTGATGATTGCTTCAATTATTTTCATGAATTCGTAAATATCAGGATCAGGAACATAAACTTTGTTACTTACAAACACACATATACATAACCACTTTACCTGAAAAATATTTGAAAATTCATTATTTTTAATATTTTATTTTTATAAATAAAAAGTTTATTAAGGCAATTTTAATACATCCCTGATCACTGAAAAACAAGACATAAAAGCTTTGCAAGCATTAATTGTAGTAATTTTTGCTGAAAAGACGGATACTTTTAGGTGACATAACTTAATATGAATCTTAATCTTCTATCTACCTCATAAACCTCAACTTGATTGATATGGACTTAACGCTAATGAAACGACAAAGTTTTTTTAAAAGTGGATTATTTGTAGTATGGTTAGAAGAGGATAACATTTTTTTATCAACTGAAAAAAAACAAAAAAACCATCGTGAATAATTTATGATTTTTTTATAAAGAGAATTTAGCCGCTGAAAAGTACCCTATAAATATTTTTAACCATGACATATTCTGCTTTTTTTTAAAGTAAATTTTGTCTATTTAACAGTAAAGCAATCTTTAATTATTTAAACCTCAACTTAATTAATATAGACTTAAATGTTATTAATCGAGGAAGTTTTTCTAAAAGTGGGGCATCAGTAGTATAAGTTGGATTATGATAAAAAAAATCGTGAATAATTTATGAGTTTTTTATACATAGAATTTAGCTTAGTTTAGCAGCTGAAAAGTCTCCTTTAAATGGTTTTAACCATGCCAAATTCTGTTTTTACTTGTATAGTTTACAGTGATACAATCTTTAATTACTTAAATTAAATATTTTTGTTTAAAGTTATCGCTTTCTATTCAACAAAAAACGTGACTTACTAAAAAAAAAAACAAAAAAAAAAAACACAAATCTTGAATGTTCTACTTTAATGATGGAAATTGGGCCATTGTTTATATAACCGTTTTGTAGATCATGATGTCTACTATCAGCCTTTTAAATATTTCCCTCTACTTAGGGGACACCCTGTAAATATATAAATTTAAAAAATCATTTTAGATTTTTTTTAGGGTTACCCCATTGACCTCTAAACTGTTTGTTTAAATAAGTAATCAAAATAATTTAAAACATAGAAATTTCCTTCTATCTAAAATGAACATTTTACAGCAATAGCTAAAATTGCTTTGGATGCCCGGCTTGGCTGTTTAACTCCTGATGGAAGTCAAGAAACACAGGAATTAATTGATGCTGTGAATACATTCTTTAAAAATGTTGTTATTTTAGAACTGAAAATTCCATTCTGGAGAGTAATTAGCACTAGAACGTGGAAGGAATATGTTGAAGCACTAGATACCATTATGAGGTAATTTCTTTATTAAATTAATAAAATATACGATAGATATTTCTAGTTTATAACGTTATGTAAGCCCTGTTTAATATTACTAGTGGTTGTTGTAACGTTCCTAACCTTCAAACTTGTCATGTCCCTATTCTATAAAATATTATCACAGTTTCTTTGAAATAGTAATTGGCACTATTTTTATATTCTTTGGATGCAATTACGCTACATTCTTTCGATGTTTTGAGATGGGCTACACTGTGGGGATCTGTACTAAATTTCAACTTTGAATTAAAAGCTTGGTACTGGTATGCATTGCCGGACCGAAGCAAATTTTATGATGGAACGAGATTGGAGTCAGTGGGACACAAATTTCAACCAAATTGTTTTGGTGATACTAGGTCGAAAAATATTGGAGACATATCGCACCGTACGTTCCAAAGGACCCTAATAGCCGGGAACAATTTTTTAAATATAATTTCACAAAAATTATGTTAGTTATTTTGCCTTTGCTTTGCCACAATTATTAGGTTATTACATATCAATCGATTTCTTCTTGGTGGAGAATAAGAAAAACTATTGACAATTGTATTACATGAATTATAATGTATCACAAATTACAAAAATCAAATGGTACTTCCAGTAAAGTTTTCCAAATAAATTTTAGTTAGCCAATAATTTCGTCCAGAAAATTAAAATTTTTTCATTGCTATAAATATTAGTATTTAAGGTTTTCTGAGGTACAAAAAACGAATATTAACTTTGTTTCTCACTAGAAACATATTTACTCTAAATACCTTTATTTTTATTATTTATTGATGTATAAAAAATACATCTAGTAAATTCGCACATGGATATGAAATGAAACACATGTTGAGAAACTACCCATTGGTAGCACTCTAATAATATGTCTATATTAGGAGATCACGGTGCCATCTTCTTTTCAGACGCCTCGGAGGGTTATCAGGAATTGAATAGGAAGCAAGGTTAGAAACAAGAGGGTTGGGATGGTTATGGAATAAGTTTATTATGGAAGGACAGATATCTGGATTGGGCCAAATCTGATACATAAGGAACATTAAGGTCATTATGGATGATTTTATTTGTTACAAAGTAAGGAGCATTGAGGATTTTACGAAGGATTTTGGATTGTAAGGATTGGATACGAGAGGGATTTGAAGGTTTGGTGAAGCCCCATAGCTTAACTCTGTAAGTCCAAATAGGCCTTATTATAGTCATGTAAATGAGTCTTTTGTAATTAATTGGAAGGTTAGAGCGTTTGTCTAGTAAGTGTAGAAGTAGTTGAAAACGTCAAGCTGTTTCTTGTCGTTTCAGTCTGGTATGAGGATTCCAAGTTAGACGTTTGTCCAGATGGAGTCCTAGGTAACTCTAAATACCAAACCGATTTTGAATAAATATTATATTTGGCAGATAGCTATAATATGGATACAAATTGGACGAACCAACGCACAGTGGGATGTATGACCAATCTAGGTGGAAAAATTAATGGTGAAATTTTTTTAATGTAAGGAATGAGATAGAAGATCGATATTTAATTAGAAGATAATCATAAACTGGTTCGATTGTATTTAGCGGTTCCAAACGATAAATACAAATTTGAATTACACAAATCACTTCATCTTTCAATTAGGGTCGCCTACGTCCCAGAATTGTTAAATTGTTCTGAAGATGAAATAGTGTCTGAATTTGAGAAACACGGAGTTGTAAAGGTTAAAATAATCTGTAAAAAAACAATAATGAAAATAGAGCCACTCCGTTACTGATTTTGACCTTTGAAAAAAGTGGATTACTTGAAAGAGTTTTATTGAATTTCTTGTCCATAAAAATTATACCTTATGAATCGAAGCCACTCCTTTGTTATCTTGTTATAAATATAGGCACACTAGAAAGCATTGAAATATTATTAATTGTGGAGAAAATTCACATAACTCTAACAATTGCACAAACGATCAAATTTTTTTTTCTCGTCAACGATCAATCTCGTCAAACGCCTCCATTGACACCTGTTAGCTTCGAATAACATGAAATCCAGGCAGGTCCATCACCACAAGAGAACATTGAAGAACCTCAGCCTCAACCAGGTACATCATCACAAGGGACAAATGAAGAATCCCCCTTTTTTTAAACACAACTCCTATCAGGTGCTTCAGAATGACAGTAAGGTAATGGAGTCCGCACCGACACCAAGAGACCCCCGACCTCCACCGATATTCGTTAAGAATATAAAACAATTTCAATGACTGTGACTAAACAAGATAGCAGGCTCCGGAAGCTAGTCATGTCTGAGCAGAATGAATGACACCAAAATATCATCAGATACAGCTGAGAACTATAGAAAAATTGTGAAGTATCAAACAGAGACCAAAGCAGATTTCCACTCGTATCAATTGCGGCAGGAGCGAGCTTTAAGAGTAGTTGTAAGAATCTTAGACCCCATTGTTGTTGTTGCTAGCATTGCTAGTTAATGAGAATGCCTTTCGGCTTAAAAAAACGCGCCGTTAACGGTCCTGTGTCTTATGGATAAATTTTTGATAAGGGTAAACGAAGTAGTGTATCAAGTGTATATGGATGATTTGCTACTATTCAGCAGCATATGGAACATTTGCGAAGTGTTTTTGAAAGACTTAGGATATTTGGCCAAAATTTTCATTGGAAAAGTCACTTTTGGGCCAGAGACAAATACATTTTTTAGGTTAAATAATTTCAAAAGAGGATGTTAAACCGGATAGAAGCAAGGTGTAGACAATACAAATAATGGCAATTCCGAGAGACGTGAAAGGAATCCGAAGATTGTTAGTCATTGAACTACTGTAGGTATTTGTTGCGTTAGGCGATTTGATCCAAAATAGCAGAATACCTTAATAACCTACTCGAGAAAGGGAAACAAGCGGTAGTTTCACCCCAGATGAAAAGTAATCTTAGAGGAAACTGCAACATGAGCAAAAATTCAAGATTTATCGAGAAAATTTACCATTAAAATAGACCCAAGTGAGTATGCGTTGGATCGTATTATTATAGGAAGGGGACAAAAGAGAAAGACCAGTTACTTATACCAGCAGGTGCCTCACGGATACCGAAACCAGATACAGCGCGTTAGAAAGGGAGGTACTCGGGATCGTGTGGGCCATTGATATGGAAATTGTTTACAAACTAGGGAGGGAAAATATTGTGGCCGACTGGCTGTCCCGGAAGATAATGGTAAATACGATAGAAAAAGAGAGTGGGAAACCATATAAGGATGTCAGGCAGTTCTTGCCAAAATGGACTCCCGAATGAGAAAGGATAGGGGACAAAGTGAAGGTTGCTTGGATAATACTCACTTTATTTACCTTCTAAATAGGTTTATATTGGAATTACAGGGTTTATTTACTGTACTTCTGTAAAATTAATTTTCAACTCACATTCTGAACGCAAACTTCTTGCTTCGAGTGATATTTTACCTTTAACCGAGCTATTCAAATCGTAAATTTGATTTGAAGAGATCAAAATCGATAAAAAAATTGTTAAAGACGTCTCTGCTATTATTGATCATAAACTAGATAGATCTATTGGAGCTAGAAAAGTTCAAACTGTCTACTGATGACACCTACTCAACTTGTTATTTGACAGCCAAATTGAAATATTGTATTCATTCAAATATGAGCAATACTATGAAACATGGTAAAAACATCTGTTCTCATATTTAAGACGAATAGTCTATAAATAAAATAGTTTTTGACAATATATCATTAACATAGTAATTTCTATCTATAATAGGGTTTATAATTTCATGTCAAATAGTAAATCATTTCAAGAGTCAATCATTTCTCTTAAAATAAATATTGTAAAAATATTTTCATTAGGCAAAACGTTAGAATGTTTTTTCGATTCATACTTATGATTTGTATTGTAAACACCGTACTCAGTCAATTTGAAGGCGCATCCATGTCTATAGATGGCGAAGATACACCACTAGTGGATCTAGGATTAAATTTTGGGGTGGGAGCCCGAAAGTTTTTTTTTTTTTTTTTTTTTTAGATAGAAAGTAAACTTTATTCTGGAACAAGGTCCCTTATGAATAACAGATATGAACAAAAAAATTAAAACTACATCTGGCCAAAAATTACATTAATCAATATTAAAGAATATATACAGTATCTTCAGTGAAATTAAATTAAAACAAGTAAAAATAAAATAAAATTTTGAGAAAAAACGAAATAAAAAAAAACAACATTATTTAAATGAAAATAAAAATAAAATAAAATAAGCATGGGTTGATTTTTAAAATTAAGACAATAAATTTTATCAATCATTCACCTCAGTCAAAATCTGTTTCACAATATTTATTTTATTGTATAACGTCATTTTGGGATGTGAGAAGGAATTGGTAAAGATGATATTTAAATGAGGACAAGGAAGAGGCATGACGGATTTCAGATGGCAAGGAATTCCAGAAGGCTGTGGATCGGGAAATAAAGGAATATTTAAACGTCGTAGTTCTATGGGAAGGGATATAAAGGTCGGAAACACGGGATCTTGTTTTCTGGGAGTGGACCACGGGTTTAAACTGTAGGAGACTGTAGATGTAAGAAGGGTGTCTAGTGTTGATTGTTTGGAATAGGAAAGATCCTAGGAAATATTGTCTGCGGAAAGAAGGGAAGAGCCACTTTAACTCGTCGTAAAGATGGGACACATGAGATCGCTTTGATGTACCGAAGACAAATCTTAAGCACGTATTCATGAGTCGCTTCAATCTATCCTCGAGTACCATCAGGATGCCTCCGTACACCACACAGCCGTAGTCAAAGTGGGGGAAAATGAGAGAGGATACAAGGAGCTTGCGGATGGGTTGTGGGAGTAGGTGGCGGGAGCGATGAAATAGCTTAAGGGTACCTATTGACTTACGGGAGATGAGGGCAATATGGGGTTTTCAGGAGAGGTTTTCGTCTATGGTGATTCCTAGGTTTTTAACGGATGAACTGAATGTGACAGGATGATCGTTGATGACTAAAGGAGGAAGGAAGGAGATGGATTTAAGAATAGGACTGGAACCTATAATAATGGCCTGAGTTTTCATCGCATTTAGATTTAAATTATTCAGACTTGCCCAGGCACTGATCCTATCTAGGTCAGCCTGAATATTGGCGAACGCGACTAGTAGCTCAGAAGGATGAAAGGAAAAATATATTTGGGTGTCATCAGCGTATAAATGATGTGAACAGTGGTAGATGGATTTGGAAAGATCATTTATGTAGGAGTTGAAAAGGAGAGGGGAAATGCTCGAACCCTGGGCCACTCCAGAGGACAGTGTAAGAAAGGAAGATAGGGGTTGGTTTGGAATGCTGACTGCTTGAGTTCTGTCGGATAGGAAAGACTGTAACCAGAGAATAGAGCTGTTGGAGAAGGATAGAGATTTTAATTTAGTATAGAGTATAGAGTGGTCTAAGGAGTCAAAAGCTTTGGAAAAGTCGAGAAGTATTAATACAGTTAACATTTTTTCGTCCATTGCGGTATGTAAGTCATTGGTAATTTTTAGTAGGGCGGATTGTGTGGAGAAGCCAGGTCGGAAACCAGATTGGAGAGGATCGAGTAGTTTTGAGTTTTCAAGGAATTTAGAGATTTGGGATTGAGCTATTCTTTCCAGAGGTTTAGAAAGGTTAGAAAGAATGGAGATTGGGCGGTAGTCTTTAGGAGAGGTAGGATTGGGAATTTTGTTGATAGGTCTGACTAATGCTTTTTTCCAAGCAGTTGGAAAAACTGAGTTCTGGAGGGAAAAATTATAGATGAAAAGGAGAACTGGAACGACTTCGGGAAGGCATAATTTTAATAGTTTGACTGGTATCCCATCAAGTCCTATGGAGTTTGTGTGTGATTTCATTATAGAGGAAATAAGGTCGGTCGGTGAAATGTTGGAGAAATAGAAATTATCACTGTTAAATGAGGGTGATAAGGAAAACTGGTGAGAGGTGGGTGAACTGTTGCTGGTGGTGGAAGATGTAAAGTAGGAATTTAGTTCATCGGGTGATACCGAGTAGAACGGTGAGGAAGAGGATTTACAAAGAGAGAGTTTACGAAGGGTTAGCCTTATTGATTTAGAATCAGGAGCAGAAGCGAGAGTTTCGTGAAAGAAGTTTGATTTCGCTTTCCTGATCGTTGTTTGTGTCAAGTTACGGAGTACCCTATAGACTTGATAGTCATCTGCTAGTCGAGTTCGTCTGAAGCGTCTACGGGCTGCCTCACGTCTCTATTGCATGTCGCGGATTTCTTGACACATCCAAGGAGCAGGTTGGCGACGGAAGGTTGAGGTTTTGATAGGAGCATGTATGTTAAGAATATGGATAAGATTAGAAGTGAGGATGTCTACCATATGATCAATAGAGGTACAGGAATAAATATCGTTCCAGTTTAGGGTTTCAAGGTCCGGTAGGATTTTATCACGGGTGAGGTTGTCAAGATTGCGGAAAGTTATGGTTTTAGGAAGAAACGTGGGAGTTTGGATATCGTACGATAATTTGATGAGATCATGAGAAGAGAGGAAAGGAACGGGTAATTGAGAACAGGACAAGAGTTTCTGCTCTGAATCGATGATATGCAAGTCCAGCCAGGTGTCAGACCAACAAGTATGGTGTGTAGGAGCGAAAGGAGTTTTTTATAATTTCTATTTCTTATTTTTATATTCTCGTTTTTTATATATCTAACGAGAACTACTTTAAAAGAAAAGGAAAGAAACTAACTACCTATACCAAATGGTGTTTAAGTGATTCTCGAAATACGTTTAAATGTTATTACACAAACAATAATACTTTTAAAGATAATTTTTTTCATAATGGTTATATTTTACCATTTGAAGGCAGAGGGCTTCAGCCCGAAAATCCCCTCCCCACTCCTCTGTAGATCCGCCTGTGATGAACACCGACTCTCAGATGATGCAATACGAAAGTCAAGACTGCTGCCATATATTTGAAGACCGCAGTTTCCAGACTAGAAAGGTTCGGAGGCGATTTGGGCCACCTCAGTAATTTTCAGAAACGAGGAATGAGATTTATAACCTGGTGGAGGACAAAATCGCGGCTGGATGTGTCGATTCTTTGGTTCCTACAGAGTTGAGAGCATCTCAAGTGAGGAAGAGTTAGGAGGAATGTGATAAACGAAAACAAGCAGATGAGCTAATAAAAAAACCATAGGCGAAAAAAACGAACTAATATATAAACATATATATAAATTAATTTTTAAATATATAGTATTTAAACCAACAACACGGTTTACAATAATTATTTTGATAATGGTAATTATCATAATTTTAAACATATATAAACCTTCGAGATTTTTTTGGGGAGAGGAGGCGGGGTCCAACGCCCCACCCAAACAGAACGGAAAGTCTGATAAGGCCAACATTTATTTAAGGGTAAATAAATATGTTTATATAGAATTATAAACAATAGCAAGGCCTCCAGTATTACATGAATAAAATAGTCATCCTTGGCAAACAATGAATTATAAATTGCATTTGATGAAATCGTAAAAACATAATCATTTGAATTCCAAAGTTCTCAATGTCTCTAATAACCATTTTTATGTAATAATAAATATGAAGTAAGGTTTTCTTTATTTTGAAATTTGCATATCAATTTATTTATTTGGTATTAATGTCATATTTTCATATTTTATAGGATAGTATATAAGTTCGTATCTAAGACACTAGATGAATTAAAAAATAAGAATAATGAATGCAAAGAGGATAGTTCACTACTGCAAAGAGTTTTGTATGAAAACTTGGACAACCCTAAAGTGGCGGTTATTCTTGCCCTAGATTTGTTTCTCGTTGGAATAGACACTGTAAGTTTCTCCATTGATTCACTTTGGTATTTCTATAACTTCAGAAAGTTTAATTAACTTCATCACATAATTAAAGTGTAAAAAATCTTTTTTCCATTTTTATTTTTTAAATTTTCTTTAACTTCTCGGAGTATTTTTCTTCATCTTTAGGATCTTCTATTATTGCACCATACCAGTATAAAAGAGAAAATAGCTCAAAATGAGATATAAAATAATTAAGATATAAATGGAAAATCCAAACCTTAAAAGCTTTGAATTAATTATCTACTTTTATGTTAAAAGACTTTTAACTTTTAAGTGTACTAAAATTTTAAGGTTTAAGGGATTCTGGTAGGTTCACTCCATAAATACTCCATTAACAATAGAAATATACATCTTTAATTTTGGAAAAAAATACAAAACTTTTATTACTAAAATTTAACAAATATTCAAAAGAAAAGTAACGCTATACAAACAATGAAAAATGCAGCTACGAGAAAATTAATTAAAGAAAACAGAAATAAAATATAGGTTTTTACAAATTAAAAAATACAAAAAAATTAAGAGTTGCAACTTCAGCAAAAATAGTTCAAGTTTATTTATTTTTTTTTTATTTTTTTTTTTTTTTATTTTTTTTTTATATATTACAACATGTCATACAGATAAGTTACAAGTTTATGGTTGTAGTAACCTTACACTTGATATAACAGTGGTTTGAATACTACTTAGAAAATTGAAATTAATTTTTTAAAGTAGGAAAAATCTCATAAAAACCTACATAAGATATAAATGAAAAAAATTATGTTACAATCATTAAAAGTGCAAGAAAACTAAATATAATTTATGTGCAAGGAAAAACATATATATATATATATATATATATACACACACACACATACATACACACACACATATATATATATATATATATATATATATATATATATATATATATACATATATACACATACACATGTATACACATACATATACTTACTCACACACACATCATAAATACAATTTGTTGATTGGGGTGATTGAGTTTATTGTTACTTGTTTGGTGATTGATTGTTTAATAGTATGTGATTAGTCCGTCTGTGTGTATACCGTTTCAAAGATGTTTTGTCATAGTTTCCTATTGTTCGGATTATAGGGTTTTCAGACGTTGGCGTTAGCTCAAAGAATCTCTGTGTTTTAAAATAAATATATTTTTTTTATTGTGGGAAGCTGTAATTCTGCTAGCATAATAGATACTTTGGTATAACGTGGATAATTGTTTATGATTCTCATACACATATTTTAAATTACTTCGAGTTTTTTGTAATTAGTCTCGCATGTGTAACTCCATACTGGGGCAGAATAAGTGATTAAAGGGCGGATTACTGTTTTATATAAAATTAGTTTGTTTTTTGTATTCAGTTGTGAATATCTATTAAAATATGGTGACATTTTGCTGATCATGTTTTTTGCTTTATTGCACTTGTTGTTAATATGTTGAGTAAAATTTAGGGATCTATCAAGTTCTAGGCCTAAATATTTCACGGAACTGGACCAAGGAATCTGTACTTCTTCTATGTGTATATTGTGGTTTATGCGTGGTCTTCTTTTTGTAAAAATAATTGCTTCAGTCTTTTTATCATTTTTTTTGATTTTCCATTTTTCAAAATACTTGCAGAGTTTTATGAATTGGGATTGTAACCTATTAGTTATAGTATCGATTCTAAAAGAAGAGGTGTAAATAGCTGTATCATCTGCATATAAGGAGTATTCTATTGAAGGAATGGAAGGGAGGTCTGAGATGTATAGGCTGAATAGTGTAGGAGAAAGACAGGAGCCTTGAGGGAGACCTGCAGATAGGAAATGGATTGAGGAATGGTCATTCTTTATTGTAACGCAAAAGGATCTATTGTTGAGATATGAGTGAAGGAGGTGGATTATGTAAGGTGGGAATTTATATAAAATGAGTTTATGGATAATACCCTCATGCCATACCGTGTCAAAAGCTTTTTCTATGTCTAGGAGGAGCATACCGACGTGCTTCTTTTCATTGAACGCTTTGGTAATATAGTCGGTCAGTCTGGCTAGTTGGGCTACTGTTGAGTGTTGTTTTCTGAACCCGAACTGCTCGTTAGATATCAGACTGTTGAGATATATGGCTCAGGATTCTTTTTAAAAGTAGGTTTTCAAAAAGTTCAAGTTTATTTATTTTCAGCCATTTTACACCAATTTTCAAAATTTTGTCAACAACAAAAATAGTTCATTACAGCGGGGGCCCAGACAATTGTTATGCCGCTAGGTAAAAACTGCACATTTTAACATTAGCGACTAAACTGCAATTTTTTAGAACAAACAAAACAGTCTTTTTTATATCATCAGTTTCTAAAAAATCGATATTTGTTGTATCGATTGCCCAAAGAGGTAGACAGAAGTAGAGCTGGAGTAAAACCGCAGCACTGATTATTGCAGCCGTCATGATAACACAAGAGGAGTGTGGTAAGTTTGGTTTGGAATTTTCCATTTATATCATAATTGCACTATTCATTAATTTATTGTGAATTTGTAAACACTAACAATTACTAACTAAAATAAATATAAACAACTTGTTACAATTAGTTAATTACAATGCTATAATGTTTGTTAATTTTTAAATGCTCTATTAACTCATCATCTATTTTGTCTTCTACTTTATATATATATATATATATATATATATATATATATATATATATATATATATATATATATATATATATATATATGAAAAACAAAAAAATAAAATAAATTAACATAAAACATATTAAAAAATTGTCCTTTTTATAATAAACTACAAGCATTTCATACTAATGATTGTCTGAATTATATGATTCTTTTTACCATTTTACCATTACACAACCTCTGACTATTACACGGTGGGCCAGACCCCCATACAGTGCACCCTCCCCCCCTCCCCACATCCCTATAAATTTCATATCGTTGTGTTGTCCTGCAAGCGAAACTGCCAGCCAGATTGTACAACACTGCATCTTGTCTCACGGTGGCAGAGTGCGGCGGCATGATACAGAAGTGAACATGTTGGAAATTGCTCTCCAAAAGAAAGGATACAGGGTCACACGGGCGGATCTACGGGGGGGGGGGCTTTCGGGCTGAAGCCCCCCCCAAAATCGAAAAATATAACCATGTTTTATGGGAAAATTTTTTTTATAAATACCTCTTAAAGTATTATTGTTCGTGTAATTACATTTAAAAGTACTTAAGGAATAACTTAAACACCATTTCATATAGGTAGTTAGTTTCTTTCTTTTTTTTCCAAAGTAATTATCGTTATTTTTATGAAAAAAAAAGGTTTCGGGCTGAAGCCCCCCCCCAAAATTAAATCCTGGATCCGCTAGTGCAGGGTCACAAAGGAGAAAATGTTTATTGGCAATAGACGAAGGTGGAAGCCAGACCTGGTGTGCTCAGGACCAAGCGGAAGCTTCATTAGTGACGCACAGATCGTCGGAGATAACCCTAGCACCACCCATTGGAACAATGTTAAAGCCAATAAATATAGGGACCTAGATTGTAGGATGGCGATCGGGCGTACACTGGGAGTGTCAGGCGTGGACATAAAAGTACTCCCGCTCACAATAACTTGGAGAGGAATATGGTGCCGACGATCTTTCCATGATATGGATATGTTGGGCATCCCCAAGAGAACTATGAACGCCATTACAATGAGAGTCCTTAAAGGTTCCCACATGAACTACAGTAATTGGTTCAGGCTGCTTCCTCGATTATAGCGCGATAATCAATGATTTTATTGTTGCCATAATTTACGTCTTTACGTGTTTCTTTTTTGTATTTATCTATTTGTTTATTTTATTTTATTTATTTATTTTGTTATTTCTATTTATTTAGGTATTATAGTATTACTTACTTATTATTTATATTGTGAATGGGTAACTACTTCCGTAGTTTTTAAAATTACTTTATATATAGTGTATATTTTATGTATGTATATGAATACATTTATATATTTTTTCTTTTATATTTTTATCGACGCAGCAGCAATTTGTATATAAATGCATTGCTCAGTATATTATAACTTAATGTTAGTATGTTTTTTTATATGATTCTTGGATTCCAATATCCAAAATAAAACGTTACGATGGTGAAGATAGCACCAAAATAAATTAGAAATTGAGAAAGTTGCTGTAATTTTGTTATGTTGTGAAATATGTATGTACTACCAAATAAATGAATTACATATTTTATGCATTCATCTAGGGCCAGCATAAACAGAACAGAAAGAATTAGCCTATATAGTCTGTGGACCAGACCCCCTTACCGTGCACCCCCCCCCCCAATATCCCTATAAATTGCATATCGTTGTGTTCCTTGTAACAATTTATTTTTAAAAAAGCCAATGTTCCCACAAAAAAAAGTGAACGCACTGCCTCAAAATGGCGTCCAAAGATGGCGGATTGACGACTTTGACTTTAGTTATTATTTTGGTCACTGAGAATCAGCATTTGGCTTAATTTCCTCATAGTTGGTCTTTTATTAAAGCTGAATAGTCATGAGAGAGAGAGAGCCTTCCAGAATTGTAAACAATGATGTATCATTCTCCCAACTACTTAGAGGTAAGACTTTAACCGATAAATGTCAAGCCCTGCCACAACAACCTCAAACCCAACCTCAAAATCCTCTTCATCCTAATATACCTAACCACCAACAACAAATTCCTCATATTCCTCCTCCTTCAAATGCAACAGATCTCACAAGTTTGTTAGCATCTTTCCTCACCGATTTCAAATCCCTTGTTACTCCACTCATATCACTCCTCACGAATCTCGTATCTCACCTCATCCCTCCTCTGAAAAATCCTTAAATGACTCACATCCCTAAACCCATATCCATTCTCCTTTGGAATGCGAATGGTGTTAGAAATCATACAGACGAACTATCTACTTTACTACTTGACAAGAACATTGATGTGGCACTAATTACTGAAACTCGACTAACCACTAAACAGCACTTCA